TTTTTAATTTTCAGTTACAGTTGACATTCGATATTATTTTATCTTACTTTCAAGTGTACAGCATAGTGAATGGACATTTATATAATTTATAAAGTAATCCCCCCCGCAACCCCTCAATTAGTCTTGTTCCCACCTGGCACTATACAGTTATTGACTATGTTCCTTATGCTGCACTTTATATGCTCTCAACTATTTTGTGCTACTAATTTGTTACCACTTAAACCCTTCACCTTTTTCACCCATTCTCCAAGCCCCCTTCTATCTGGCAATCTTCAGTTTGTTCTCTGTATCCATGAGTGTGTTTCTATTTTATTTATTTGTTTACTTTACTCTTTAGATTCCACATATAAGTGAGATCATATGGTATTTATCTTTCTCTGTTTGACTCATTTCACTTAGCATAATACTTTCCAGATCCATCCATGTTGTCACATATGGTAAGATTTCTTTCTTTTTTATGGCTGAATAATATTCCATTGTATGCATGTACCACAATTTCTTTATTCAATTGTCTATTGATGGGCACTTAGGCTGCTTCCATATCTTGGCTATCGTAAATAATGCTGCAATAAATATAGCGGTGCATATATCTTTTTGAATCAGTGTTTTGGATTTCTTTGGTAAATACCTAGAAGTGGAATTGCTGGTTCATAAGGTAGTCCATGACTACTCTTTTAAAAATGGAATTGGTGCACTCAAGTTTGGTTGAATACCAACTGTCAAATTTGTAGATTATCTGCAACCCCTTTCCAGGCCCCAGGCAAATTTCTTCCTTTCGGAATTCAAATAGCTTTGCTTTTGCTGGCAATCATCATTAGATGTAATGAGTTTAAGATATTGCAAACAATTAAAATATTGATATAGCAAAACTAATTTGGAAAGGCAAGCATATAACAACATGAAGAAAAGTTAACATTTTTGGACTGTTTGCTTTTTGGGTTTTTCTTTGCAACCACTTTTCTTGATATGATGAATTGAGATTTGTTAAAAATTATTTTGAAGAATAATTATATATATATTTTTAAAAATATACTTTAGTAGTATACTGTGCTCTGGAATGTTTTTTGGGAAAAAGCCATCTTCTATTTTCCCCCCGCTTTTTGAAGGGTATTAATATGATACAGTCCACGAGGCAAGGAACTGAGGTTTCCTGCCAATAGCTATGTGAGGGAGCCATCTTGAAAGCAGCTCCTCCAGCTGACAGATGACATCTTCACTGCAACACCCTGAGAGACCCTGAGCCACACAGCTACACTGCTCTTGATTTCTCCAGCTGTGAGATGTTTATTGGTTTAAGCCACTAAAAAAATAAATTAAATATAATATGGTAACTACTTTCATAAAGTATACTGGACAGCCAGCAAAAGCTGTGAGAATTGTAGAATCACTGTAACGCTCTGTTGCAATGGCGGGTAGGGGGGAGGAAGGAAACTATCAAAACAGCTTAATTCCATAGGTCTGACTGCTTTCTGGGATAGCACAACACTGAATTCAATCCGATTTAATTAAGTTAACTATTTGTTAAACAACTAGTAATTGCAAGGTACCACAATAAATAAAGGAAAAACTTAACATCAGACAAAAAGGAATCAATCAAGTTATTACTCATATGTTTTTAAAAATACCAGTCCTAAGTCCAGAAAGCATTAATAAATACAGTATGTTATTTACCGTATGTTTTTCAGAAATCACTTTTTTATATATGTGCATTTGTACCACTCTCTGTTTTCCCCTGGAGACATTTCTTCCCATCTAATATTCACATTTCTCAACACTCCAAAAGTTCAAGACCTCAAGAGTCATTCACATTGTTCACTTTTACTCATTTGTAAAATGGTAACCAAAAGACAATTATCTGTTATCTTCCTACCTGACAGAGACAATAAAAGCAGAGCTGGCTGTACCCTGTTTTAAACAGATACAAAACTATAGAATCACTCTTATTTTTAGAAGTTCCAATGCATTTGATAATTTTTATGGGGCAGAGGTGACATTCTGATTGCTAATGTTTAAACTCAGATGGTGCAGAAAGGCAGAATTGGAAGTGGTAGCCAAAAGATTAGATGTTTAGTTAATTGCTTACCTGATATGATTTCAGAGGCCATTAAGGTGCTCTTATCTGAAAATTCAATATCTTTCCAATGAAAGGTTTTCTCTGTTAAAATGCGGAACACACAGTGATTTAATATTATTTTGTTTATACTTTTGTGGAAGTGTGTTTCAAATTCTTTCTTGGAAGTAGATTTTTATAGAGAACAGAATGATACTGGATACTGTGGGATGAAGGACAGAAGAAGGAGGCATAATGTTGTCTAAAACACCTTCGGACACCCTGCCTATTTCTTAGTTTTGCCAATGACTGACATGATACAAAAAAATAGAATCTATTTTACTAAGAAATTGATTTAGATACTTTTCCTGTAACTTTAAAAACATAATTTTAAGTTTATGGAAAAGTTATAATAGTATGAGAAACTCCTATACAGTCTTTATCCCCACTTGGTAAAAGTCCCTACTCACTCTATCATTGTCTCTCTCCATCTGGTTCTTCATTATGCCTACCGTTTGTTTAGATTTGAATTTCTGTTTGCTATTATTTCTCTTTTGCCCAAAGAACTTCCTTTAGTATTTTTTGTATAGCAGATCTGCTACTGATAAAGCCTTTTGATTATCATTAATCTGAAAGTATTTCATTTATCAAATATATTTGTAATAAATATTTTAAAGTCCTTGTCTGCTAATTCAACATCTAGGTCATCTTGGAATCAATTTATATCAACTGTTTTTTCTCTTGATTATGGATCACATTTCCTCATTTCTTCTTTTGACTGTGAATCTTATTTTCCTGTTTTTTCATTAATGTATTTTTTGATTGTATATTGGACATTGTGATGATATGGTATAAAGATTCTAGATTCTGTAGTCTTTCTCTGAAAAGTGTGTTTTTTTTCTAGTAGACAATTAATTTGGCAGGACTCAAACTCTATCTTCTATGGTAGGCAGCAGCTGAAAATTCTGCCTAGTTCTTTCATCTTTTTAGCTACTTTTTTTTCCCCTGACAAACTCCTAAGAGTCTCTGTAGATTTATAGTTCAAGGATCAGCCTTGGAATTGGCAGAATTTATATGCATATTTAGGGATTCCCCCTTCTGTGATGTTTCTCCTCACTTCTCAGTCTCTGTAGAGCACTGAACTCTGTCCTGTTCCTCAAACCAATTTCACTGTAGCTTCCTCCTGGAGTTCTAGCTACTCTTAATTGGTGGACAGAGAAATATCTTCAAAGAACCATATAAACACAAATCTCAACCAGTGCAGTCTCCTCTTTCAAGGATCCTCCTCCTTCTGGTTTGTCTACTTATGGTTACCTTCAAATAGCTGTTTTTTATGTTTTGTTCTGAATTCATAATCACCTGTAAGAGTGTTTGTCTGACATGATAACTGTTCAATTACCAGAAGCAGAACCTAAAAATACTATTTTAAAACATAAAGAACATTGATTCTAAAAATTACTACAAATAAATTAATTAAATCAACAAGTATTTACCAAGGATTTACTTTGGGCTAGTTACTGTGCTAATATTAGGTGCTAGAACACATTTCAGATGTAAGACTATTAGATTTTAGTCAACTTGAGTGGACCTGGATTTTAAACCTCAAAATTAAATGTTATCCAGAGATGCTTACAATCTCTTCCAAAAAAAAAAAAAAGTGAATAAGCATACATTTACCTGTTCTGTCATAAATACTTCATATCTATGTGCATTTTTTTTTCAAAAAACTCAAGATTTCTGAGGCTAGAAGCATTTGCAGTTATGTTTAACAACACCAACAGTTGGTTGCAGTGAAAAAAATCCCCAACTTTCTTCAGCTAGTTTGAAAGGTCAAAATATTTTTAATAAAATTCCCTAGGATGAAGCTACTCTTTCAAGAAACTCTGAACCTAAAACCAACAAAAATAAAAGAAGTGAACAATACAATCATCTTTCAGTATTAAATTTGGGGCCGAACTATTACTAATGAACATGGACTATAAGTGGCCTCCCCTTAGATTTATCCCATCTTCCTCCCTAGAATGTGGATTGTTACTAATCTACATAAACGGCTTTAGTTTTTACTATAGCTAAATAAAATAAAAGTAGACAACTCCATCAGTACGGAATCCAATGCTAAACACCATACATTCATTTGGGGGTGAGAGGTCAACGATAGGAGAAACATGACCTACTACTGAAAAGTTCTCATGTGTGCTACAGAAGTTAGTAGGGTTTACCACCTTAGTTCTCAGCTTAGTTCTTCATCCTTACTTTTAAATCCTCATTCAAGACCTGTCTCACCCATATAGACTTACAGAGGATTGAAGAGGGACAAGAGGTGGGAAATTTTTCTTGCTTTATAGTTTTATGTAAGTTTGGCTCTGGCTTTATTAGGGAGTCAAGTGGAAAAAAGATTAAGACTAAGCTCCAGTCTCTATGATCCTATTTTGCATACGAGTTAGAGGTTTGCAAATAATTGTCCTTATTTCCATTTAGTTTTCCAGTACCTATCCCTATTCCAATTATTAGAATTGAATATCCTATAGATCACATATGGCTAGCACACAAGAGTACATATTTTATAACTATTTTTTGTTACTTCGTTTCATAGAATATACTTTTGTCCCTTCTCTTTGTATTTTCTAAGATACATTTGTTCTTAATATCTGAAATTATTTCTATTACCACTATTTTGTTATTGCTACTAAATACTTAAAATATTTCTGACATACACCAATTTTACCATAAACTCTGCATTTCATTTTCTGATGAATCATATAAATAATTCCACCTGAAACAGTGTGGGGTCAATAGCAAACATCTGTGCCCTTTAGAGGCCAACTTCTCTTAGAGCATCAGCTGAACATCAATTATTTAACACACTCAAGCTGTGCAGCAATAGAGGCTGACTGTTGCTTACTGCTGAATACCTTCTGCATTAAAAAAAGAAGAGGAAAAGGAGAACAAGTGTTAGTTACCAGTTTATTAGTTATTCCATTTTTCTTCCAAAAAAAAAAAAAAAAGTTTCATTGAATCCTTGGTGGACTGGGTATTTGGGGGGCAAAAGCAGATCAGCTGGTGTTGCTTTGAAGTGTGGCTGCAGGATTCCACTCCTTTCCCAGCTCAGCTGATGAAGCAAAGAAGAAACTTCAAAGGCAGATCTGCTGTTTTTCCTGCCAGTGGGGGTGAGTGATTTCCATCAGTTAGCTTTAGAGAAAAAAATGAGGAATTCATCCTTTCTTATTTGCCAAGGTTTGATGCTCACCAAATGATCTACCAGTTTTTAGTTATGACTATTTATCTAGTGGATGCAAATGAAAACAGTCTATTTCATTGATTTATAATTTTTATGTACACTATTTTTACAAATCTTCTGATACCCAGTTTTTGTAATTTGTCCAGACTGTGCCACACGTCAGTGACAGCAAATAAACTGCTCTGCTCCTGATTACATTCTCTGCTCATGGAAATATACAGTGGTTCTCCTAAGAGCAAAGCAAAGTTTAAGATTATCTCCTCGCTGCTCTGCTATCTCCAGCCTGCAATCGTAACTGTTTTTAATCCTTTTATTCATAGTTTTTCATTCTGCATATAGGTAGTACAGTCACTCATTTCTAAGTTAAGAAAGAATTATTCCATTTGGTCGATAATTTACCTTGTACAATATATACATTTTTAGTGACATAATTAAAATTTAAAAGTAAGAGTTAAAGGATGAATTAGTAGTTGATAGATGGTCACGGGGAATATGGCATAAGGAATGAAGTTAGCATTAATGTAATGGCTAGGTGGAGAGCCAGAGGAGAGAAAGAGCAATTAGGGGGATTGTTTTATAAACTATATAAATGTCTAACCAATGTACTGTATACTTGAAACTAATAATAAAATAAAATTAAAAAAACAAAGTAAATACAATTTCCCTGAATTTTATTTGGTCTAAAGCTTTTCATTTAAAATTTATATTCTTCTACTTCACAATTATAAAGCTTAAACATTATAATGCTTAAACATTAACTCTAAATCTTAAAATTAAGACTAGCTTTGATTCAAAAAGTAATTCCTGGCCAGTTACATGGACAGTTAAACTTCCCTGCCACTACCTCCAACTAGATTTTATTTAAATGAATATGAAAAGTTAGGTAAAAACATTTCAATGTACAGTACAAAATGGTACAATATGAGAGTCTTCAGGAAAGTTTATTATGCTAAAAAAGCATAAGAAACCAGACAGTTATATTAAACACTGATAGTCATAAGACCAAAAAGCAAGTTGCTAGCACCAGTATGGAGGTGCCCACTAATTCAGCGGCATGGCCTCAGTGTGGCCTAAAAAAAGACTTGTAGAAATTAAACTGGGGGATTAAAAAAATTCCATTCATAGAAAGCTTCCACGATTAGCAGATGGGTATGCTTCATGATGCAGAAAAGACAACGTACTGTGCAAATTCTGAAGAAGCTAATAGTTAATTCAATTAAAGGGTGGTAACAACAGCAATAAGAACACAAAGTTCATTGTCCATATTACATTTATCACAGATTATAATCTGAGAGGAAATTATCCCAATGACTGGATTTTCATTTTTTAATTTTGTAAAAATATTCAAATCAAAGTGGCATAAACTCCAGATTCTCGCTTCCAAAGATGGGTTGTCATTCCTGACTGATTATATCCTGAAGAAATCAAAGGTCTTCACAAGGTAAAATCACCATCTCTGGTTATAGTCTATCTTTCTAGGTATGTGCAGGCTGTTTTCAGGCCTTTTGGCCATTTTTTATTTGTGTAACAAATGACAAGATACAATTTTAAAAAACAAAACAAAACATTGGGAAAAAATCACAAGTAAAATGATTTAAAAAATGCTGTTTATGATTTAGTAGAATTAGGAGCTTGCTATCATACATTTTAACAATTACTTATGTTGCTCATTTTCTGAGATTTTTATTCCAGTGAGAGTTGCACACTGTCAGCTTGGTTTTGCAGCTGCTGATAGTCATACTTCCTTGCTATTAAAAACAAAACAAAACATAAAACAAGGAAAAAAGATAAAATTAATAAAATAACAAAATAATTATTAGCTAACATCATTAAATCACACTCAAGTCATGATTCAAAGTAAAGAATTACTTTAGAACTAAACATTTTTTTTAATGAGGAAATTTATTATACTTTGTGATCCTCTAATTTCTCAACAATGCTGATACCTATTTTCTTTTGGAGAATTTTTATAAGTTTATCTGAACTAAAACTGCCAACAGTTGCAGGGAAGCAAACTCTCAAATGCTCCTCCTGATATCCATTTGTATATGTTTATTATTATGTATATATCAGTATTCAGAGCTTTAAAATATAGGGAAAACATTGTTATTAAAATTAAATTAACATTTTATAACTTCCTTCTTTCTTGTTCCCCATTTCTACCTTAAGATAAAATAATACTTTTGTCCACATCATAATGAATTTGACTATATTTTAACTTATAAGCCTATGGGATCTATTATTGAACACTGTCATTAATATAAACTAGAAGAAAAAACATACATGCAATTCTGTATTCTCGCTATACTTCTGAGAAATGTTTATTGAAGAATCGTCTTAACCTGAAACTAGGGAAAGTACAGGGCTAAAATCTTTATGAATGTCATTCACTGCTTAGTTTTAAAACTTTCAGTCTGTTCATTAAATTTTTCCTAGACAAGAAAGAGACACTATTTGTTTATGCTATTCAGGGTGAATCCAGATTTTTGTGGCCTAAAGCTTATAAAACTTTAGGGGTCCTCTTTAAGAAAAAGAATTTTGTTTGCTGCTACTTCTTGAACCACCAGACTTTGTCACAACTAGATATGTCACAAACACTGAGAATGAACCAATGTGATAGGATTCATTAAGTGTGCAAATGTACACATATATTCACTGTTTATAAGAATAACGGCTTCCAAAGATGTCCACATACCAATCCCCATAATCTGTGAACATGTTACCTTATAGGGTGAAGGGACTTTGAAGATGTGATTAAGATTAGGACATTGAAAGGGGGAGACTGCCCTGGATTATCTTGCCCAATCTAATTATATGGTCCCTTAAAAATCAAAGAACCTATCCTGGCTTAGTTCAGAGAAACAAGGCGATATAAAAATTGAAGAATGATCAGAAAGATGCAATGCTGCTGGCTTTGAAGAGGAAGGAATGGGGCCACAAAGCAAGGAGTGTGGGTAGCCTCTAGAAGCTACGAATGGCAAAAAAAAAAAACCAGATTACCCTCTAGAGCAGAAAGAAATGGAACCCTGTTGACACCTTAACTTTATCCCAGTGAGACTGCTGTAGGACTTTTAATCTACAAAACTGTAAGATAATATATTTGGGTCATTTTAAGCTACCGAATTTGTGGTAATTTATTACCGAAGCAAGAGAAAACTAACATACCTTACAAACACAGAAATTGTGATAAATTTTATTTTATGCCGTTCTCAGCAAAGAAGAAAAAAACTGTACACTGTATTTATAATTGTATGTGCTATACTATTGAATATATTACTGATAGGAGATAGCTTCTGTTTTGACCAGGCATCGAAGAAAACTTAATTCTTTCCTTACAATCTTCCATACAGAGCTTTGGCCCTACACTTTAATACTTAAAATTTTTTTCAAGGATTTTGTGTGTGTGTGTGTGTGTGTGGTGGTAAAATATACATTTGCCATTTTAACTATTTCTAAGTATACAGTTCAATGGCATGAACTACATTCACATTGTTGTGCAACAATTGCCACCATTTATCCACAGAACTCTTGATCATCCCAAACTGAACTCTATCCATTAAACAATAACTCCCCATTATCTCCACCCCCAGTCCCTGGCAATCACCATTCTACTTTCTGTCTCTACGAATTTGCCTCATATAAGTGGAATCATACATTTGTTCTTTTGTGACTGGCTTAATTCACTTTATTATAAGAAAGTAATTATGAAGCATAGTCTTCAAGGTTCATCCATGTTGTAGCATGTGTCAAAATTTCCTTCCTCTTAAAGACTGAATAATATTCTACTGTATTTTTGTACCACATTTTGGGTATCCATTCATCCATCAAGGACACTTGAATTATTTCCACCTTTTGGTTTTGTGAATAATGCTGCTGTTAGTTTTACTTCTTATTTTGAACTGGTAACTCATGCATAAACTGGTACAAAATGCAGAAGGAACAAGAATCAGTGAAAAGTGTAGCTGATCAGTCCTGTAGCTACCTACCCAGTTTCGTTCCCCAAAGGAAACTATTATCACTTCTTAGGATAAAATTTGTGCTCAATTTTTTAGAAGTTCTACTTGTGTAAAAAATATAGGTATGTATATTTTTTCTACTTTTCACCTAAAATCTCACTTATAAGCCTTTGTATGCACATACACACATGTTCATATTTAAGTCTTTACTGTAGACATCTTTCTTTTAAAAATGTCCAGTCATATTTTCCTTAAATCCCATAGAATCCACATCAGGTAATGAATGATAATAATTTGATGCATATCTCTTCAAGCCTTCCTCCAGGCTTGCGTAATTATATAAAACATTTATATTACACATAGATAATACGAAGGATGTTTTGGTCATTTGACTTAAGAGTGGCATCCTAGTATATATACTATTATATCTTGCTTTTCTCACTTAATGATTTACTATGGAAACGATAATTTCATTCTTTTAAAAGGTGGCATAGACACCTGTGGCTTAGATATACAATTCATTCTGGCTCTGCACATTTAAACTTAGTTACTTTTCCACTACCGACATATTCACAGTGTTCAGTACTATAGAATGTAGTATTAATATTGAGCTTTGACCTCTGGCCTTGCATACTGATGTCACATGCCATATTCCTAGAAGTCATTCTCATATTGCTTTGGCTTGCAGTAATTTAATTATAATATAAGTGTATACAAACTCCACAGATATAAAATTCAAACCTCAACTAAAAGTAGCTGCAATTCAACTTCCCCTTAGACAGGTCCTCAAAATGCTCTTGGCCACTTCAAGGCCATTCCACACAAGGAGAGCAAAGGAGGGCAAATTAGAGAAAGAAGAGATAGCAGTCTTAACTGATTATCAAAATAGTTAATTTTTGCAAAATTTACAAAAGTATGACTACATGAACACACTGCTAGGGCTCTTCTCGGGGTCTGGGAAGGGCACTGTAAAAGTACAGGGTGCTGAAGCATTAACTTCATACAAATCTGCCTTTGCTGATACTGTATTGAGCATCTGAAAAAGGCATTACGTTTTCATTATCAACTATTTCTGATAGCCTTTTGCTAGCTCGACTCATTGGGGAAAAAAAAATCTATTTTAAACATGCTTACATATATAGTTAAGCAAAGAATATACTTACAAATAGAATACATTTCCAGTTGTTGTCTTAAACGAATTTTGCTTATTGTGTCATAAAAGTTGGGCTCTGACAAAGTTTCTGCTGTAGGTGGCACACTGAATAGCCTCATAATTTTCCTTTTATTCCTAAAACACAAAACCAATGAGGAAGAGAAATCTTTATTAATATCTATAGGATTGTAATATTCTCATGATCGTTGTAATCAGAAACTACATTAAATGGCAAGGAATCTGTCCTCTGTGAGATGCCTTCTTGGCTTAAGTATTCTTTCATTCACTAAAAAGTACAAAGCTGTACATGTACAGTCACAGCTATTTAAGAAAGAAAACAAAGTAGCTGAACACATCCACTTAACACAACAAAGTGATGTACCTCCATTGTGCCTCCACTCCCCCGC